TACACTTGTAGCTGTGCTACCTCTATTTCCCTTTTAGAGATATGACAACTTGTACTTTCCAGAGCCATCAGTTACCACATGGAAATAACTCATAATTGTCAGATGCACCAGAAAATGGGATAAACTGATAATTGCCCACTGTTTGAAGGAGGGCTCCTTTAATAGTTCATAAGAAAATTTGGCAGATGGTACGCCCCAGCCCCATTCCACAGCATGGAGATCCTGTGAATGAAAACATTTGTGTGAGACATGGCAGTATTAAAGCGTAACAACACCGTCAGGGGAAAAGGTGGCAACTCTTCCCTCTAGCCCCAGTCACTTTTTCTAACCATATAAAAAGGTTCAAAACAAGTGCTCCCTTTTTGCAAGGTCCCTGTAATCTGTAGTTAAGTTAAAAGCAGCTAGTGTGCATCTACACTGGACTGTAAAGCAAGGAAATCCTCCCTCCAGTCAGCTAATACAGGTTCTTTAAGTAACTCACGTTCAGCCCGAAATCTGAATTACACTACCCGTGGTACTCTTTTGATGGGAACAACTTTGTACAGTGACATATGTTGTTCAGTGCTGCTAACTCAGATACTACTTGAATAAACCCAAGTGTATTTACATCAATCAGTGCCTCTGAATTTAGGACTTAAATATGTCACCCACTGGTAGCCTTGGATGTCCACTCAAGCCCCTACTCAGTATTTTTCCTTTCCTGTTGCTGCTTATTTGCTCTTACGTTGCCATTTGTAAATCAGATAGTGTTTTGCATTTCCCTATGATAAGCAGAGTTTCTGTTTTTAAAACAAACTCTTTTGGCTCTCCCTGTATGTCATTGCCTCAGTTCTTTATATGTAAAATGGGAATCCACCTGCTTACAGGTAAGATTAAGTAATACTTAATTCAGTTTCCATATATACAAACAAAAAGAATAACTTGGGATCCAACCACAGAAGTGGAGGAACTTCACTTTTTTAAGATACAAAGGGCTTCTTTAACAGACTAGGTTAAGGGAATACTTATTTCCTTAAAAGACTTGTGCATATTGTGCAGATTTTCAGGAGGAGTGTAATTTATATCACTTCTGTACATCAAGTTCAAATCCTTCAATGCACTTGAGATCCTTTAGGTAGAAATGCCAAATGTCTTGAGGAAACATTCATTGGAAGGACTCAACCCAGACTTGGTGGTGAAGATATGTTGCGTATATTCTAATACCCTCCCTTCTGCCCATTCAATTTGCTACTAATAGTGAAATGGCCATCCCGCCAAGACTATAGCCAGCCACACTTGAGCAGCTGGGAAGCTATGGAATTATATTAAAAATAAGGCATACAGGCTTAACCAGACATTCCAGTCTTGCCAGGATAAAAAGCACTGCCTGTTCAGAGCAGTGTGGAACGTGTGTGTTCCCCTTCCTATAGCTCCCTGATGTTCAGTTGGCAAAACACACAGCAGACACAACCCACCATTTTCAAAATATCCTTTGCTCTGCTACCTGTGTTTGGAGCGGGGTGGGAAAGAAAGGAGACAAGCTGCAAGTCTTCTCAAGCAATTAGAATCTGAACAACTTAGAGATTAAAAGCAGGGGAAAAGGCGTCAGCCCTATGCTCCTGGCCACAACGGTCTCTGTTACTGCACTGTATGCCATCCTCATCCCGATACGACTCTTTACCTGCCCTCTGCTCCAACCGTGTGCCTGTCACAATGGCAACAGCAGCTCACGGCAGCAGAAGGACACCCAACTGCAGTAGCAGGGGCTGACAAGTGTGATAAAATGATCTTCCTTAACTAAACTCGTAAAGCACTGGGCAATAAAACTCAATCTTCTGTAAAATCCAATTAAGTCATTATCTGACTGATTGTATCTTTAATTGAAAACAGAAGTGACAGTAAATTTCTGTGATATATCAGGATCAATCGATACCGCTATACGATTCAGCCCCAAGAAGTGATTTATAATGTCAAACCCATATAGGTAACTCCACATTATTCTCTCTAAAACCACTGGTGGATGAAATTAAGAGTAAGTGCATTTAATAAAAAACAAGATGGTCAGGTTATTGATTACAACAGATGGGGGCGAAATCAAATAGATGTTTTCAAAGCACAGAGTGAAGAAAATACAAGTAATTTCTTTTTTTCCTGTTTAATATAGCTTGCCAACTATACACACAAGAAAATTTGGTCATCAATAACATTTTTATTTCAGGTACTGCTGCAACTACAGAGAACAATGAATTTTTAAAAGACTAGTTTCATTTCAGGTTGGCTTCTGTAACCCAAGAAAAGTACATGCTAAGCAGTTTTAACAAAATATTGAAAGAATCAGTAATAACTTTTAAAAGGCAGTCTTTACTTGAAACTAAGATTGTAGCAAATAGGTTAATTTGTAAAATACTACATTTTTAGTAATTTTCTGCTGGTAGCTGAAGACATACCTGACCAAAAAGCAGCTTCTTGCATAAAAATAAGGTAACCCATTACAAATTGTTTTAAAAAATACAATTCTTGCTTAAACTTTTTTCTATGTATGCATGCTATGAAAAGGGATAAAGGCCACAGGGAATGGTACAAATGTAGAACCTTACAACTCATCAGCATTGTTTTGTTGCAGCATCTTATTAAAAATGTGAAACGTTTGCTTTACAACAAAGTTATAAAGCTCTGTGCCAATTTATAAAATCCACATCTTACTGAAAGCTTTTTAAAATGTATCCTACTTTTGAACACTGTTAAAGAATTAACTAAACATATTTGGGCTATAGAAATCTCATATAAGTAAACTGAAGAATCTTAGCCATTCATCTAACTTTAATTATGTGTTCTCTACATAGTATTTATTTAACTACATTTTTATACCCCCAAGAGAGGTATAGAGATTGTTATACTAGATGTATACCATGTAATCTTCCTTCAGAAGCCCTTCAGGGAGAACACTTAAAATAATCAAAGCAGTCAGTACTGTTCTGGTCCTCAAACTACAGTTGCAAGTTGCAATGCGCTGAACTAGTCTCAAGGAAATAATTCAACATTTTCTCAACAGTTACTTCAGCATCGGTTATCACAAAACACACCAACACAATTGAACAAGAAGGTACTTGAAGAAGGCAGGCACAACAGGATTTTTTTTAGCGTTGCTTATTCACCATCTTCCATGACAGAATGAACAGTGAAGGTGCCGGAATCAGAGGTTGACTCGCATTCCAAGACAGCTTTGGTGCTTTCACTGCTGATGGGAGAGCTGCTGGAAAGGGAAACCAAGCCAGAATCCTGACTACTCGGTGGTGAAAATACTGAGGAGGCAATGGATAAAAGGGGGAAAAGAAAAAGGGAATACCAAGTTAAGTGATCTGGATTAGGCCCTACACACACATATACACACAAGGAATGGCACCATCAGGCTACAGTACATAACCAGCTTTTCTCTTTAACTAATTATATCCTTATGTATGTATCTATATCCAATGCATGCAGAAAAAGCTGCTCGCGGGGAGGAAAGAAACCACGGAGCATGATCTCTGGTTGCATGCTTTGTCCCAATCCAGAGATCTGCATTGTTACATGCATTATCACACACACACACACCCCTGCTGCCTTTCCAAAAGCACAAGAAGATAGAGTTGAGTCTCCCATTTCCTGCTGGAATATGTATTTGGCAAAGAAGGGGATATGTAACTGCTAATCACTGGGATTTCTGCATCAGGGAGCCTGTATACAAACTACTGTAAACTAAGGTGGGTCACTGAAGATTGCCATCTCAGCTACACACAATTTCAATTTCCTCCATATGCTGGCAACAGAAGCAAGAAGTTCTGCATAGTGCCAATGCCAAATTCAAAGGCATCAGCTGATAAGCAGCAACTCATGAGTCTAGTCTCCTGTCTTCTTTACTGGTAACAATCTACTGCCAACATTTACAACAGTCATTCATTTAGGGTGCAGTGCTATATATGTTTAGGCAGAAAAATAGCTGACTGAGACATGCTGAGAGTTGTAGGCCATTTTGCACATGGGCAGAATTGCACATGTAGTTATTACAGACATCAGGCATGCTGAGAAGGCAGCTTTATACTGGAATTTAAGACTGCTTCAAGAAGTGTGACTACAACAAAATGTTATAGCATCCAGTGTTATGTTCAGGGTCCTAGTCAGCCTGATAGGCCTTCTTTCAAGATACTTATTCCAGCTTTCTCCAATGGGGCACCAGTTTGGGGAAGGCTGTTCCACCCTATTCTTCTGTCCCTCTTGGTTTGCTGATGCCCCACTTCTCCAATAATCAACCTATATTATGATCCCATCTGGTGCATGGCTGATGCGATTTTGGCTATGTGATGACTATTTGAAGAATAAGTTTGCTATTAGTACATTCAGCATAATCTGTCCATTCCCCCACACTAGATCTGAAAATATATTATCTGCACACATGTTTTGTCTCCCGGACCCAACTAATCCATCCATATCCCCCTGCAAAAACTCAACTGAAGGGAGACTATCACTCCCTCCTCCCAGCATGCCAGCAGAGATCCTATAACCACTGCATGATGAAGCAAGAGGGGAAGATGCACATAAGGAAGCCCCAAATGGGAGAGAAATAAGTTCTAGGTGCCTAAGGAAAGCCTTTGACTATTGTCCAATATGTTGGAACCCTTTTGTTAAACATACCTAGGTGAAGGTTGTTCTCCGATACACCAAACAGAAGATAAGCAGCCTCTGTCAAAGGACATCAGCATTTCCAAAATGCATGGGGAAATCATAAAAGGTCTTCCATGGGCACCTGGGACTTCCCTTTTATTTCCCTCCCATTGGGTCTTCTATGGCACTAAGAAATTCAGTAGATGTGGCTTTTGCCATCACTGCATCTGCAGATTAAGAAGAGCCACACCTAGTTACTCCACGTCACAAAAGGGCAACCAGGGGGGAAATTGACAAGTTGTGGGAAATAATCTGAGTCTCATTTAGTAACCTGCACACACCTCCCCTCAAGATGGTTTGGGAACAATGGATTGATTGTATTTTGTACCAAACCAAACCAAACTACTCTAAGTACCAACTAGAAGGCATGTTTGAATCATGTTTATAAAACTAATGCGATTCTTCTCACTAATATTAAAAGGATTATTTGTATGCTTAAAGCTTAGAATTTATTATTTATATTTCTACCCAGCCCTTTAAATTCAAAAGGAGGATTCCAGAAAAACAACATACTTATACAAAATAGACAAATGTAATTTTAAAAACATTAACTTATGTGCAACAGCAAATGTACAGTAAAACCTTAAAGTAGCAAATATCAGGAACAACAAATCAACATCAAAAATGGATTAAAAGTTGAGTCAAAACTGTTTTAAACTTGTGCCTAAAGCTAACTATTAGCTGTACTATGTATGATTATTCCAGAACTTGGAAACCACCACAGAAAAGGCCCTTTCTGTGGTCAACAGCTGCATAATATTTGAAGACGGGGATCACTCCCAGAAATGAATATAAAAGAAGCTTCCTCAAGGCAGCTTCTAACAGAATACATGTTTAGCAAAAACAAACCAAAACCAGGCAGATACTAGCTGACTTTAACCTCATGAGAACTTGAGGTGACTTGAGAACTTTTCCCCTTTAACCCAGAACAGAGAACATGTGGCTCACACTTACTCAGGAGAAGCACCTACATGTGTGTAAAGCCAATGCAAGAGCTATTTCCTCTACCATGAATGGAGGAACAACTGAACAATGCTATGGGAGTGTAATGCTGCAGCACCGATGACCACAAGGTTGAGACTAGAGATCTGTTTCACCCATTAGCCTGGTCACCTAGTGGCTGCCACAATGCCCTTCCCCAGAAATCTACACCCCTAGATGGGAAGAAGTGGTTGATGTGGTACTTCCTCTCTGTCTAGCACAGAAAGCCCTTCCCTCCTTCTGCACTTCCTGCAACCGGCAGAGAATTCAAGAAGGGAAGAAATATCTCTCACACTGAGCCAGGCACCTTTCACCTCAGGTTCTCCATCTTGCACAGAGGTATTGGGCACAGGGATGCTGGGGTAGGGCTGTCTCTCTCTCTGTGTTGGGCTCAGTAGTAGAGAGAGCAATATGTGCCCTTTCTGCCTTGTCCCAAAACCCCGGAACAAAGTGAGATGAGACTCCAATGCTCTCCCAAGTCAATGGCATCTTTATCATTCTGCCATGGGTGGGGTTAACCAGGAAATCTGCGGAAAATGTGCACATGTTGGTAGCTGTCCATAATGATATGGCACAGATGTGGCACCTCTGACAGGGAGTTTCCCCATCCAGCCTACAAAGAGTTCTTAGGTTCCCCTATGCCAGGGCCCCTGGTGAAATCATCTCCAGCCCCACCCCCCAGCCAAAAATTTGTACTATTATCTTAAGTCTCAGACAGGAGATAACAGAAGGGATAGAGGCAGTGAGTAGCTGTTCCACCCAGCACTTGCCAAGCCCTTTCTGCATGCATCCCTCAGCATGGAGAAAGGCTAAGCGAGAAGGGCTCTGGCAATGCTATGACTGTGAGGGTGGCCATCCCCACTAATGTAATCTTGTCAATGGTGTCAGGATCTGGGCGGTTCTGGTGGCCAGAAACAGAACACAATATTCACAGAATAGGTCCCAGGTCCTGCTGGAACTCTCACCCTTCAGATAAGCAAGAACAGGAAACCCTGGAAAAAGAGCTATGTAAGAGCAAGCTCTTCTCTCCAAAACTTGCTTCAGCAACACAAGTGTTGCTGGTTGCTGATGTGTCTGCATCCTGCCTGACCCCTGCTGTGTCTCCTGCATCTTGCCATTTATCCTGTCTTGCCATGTAGCCTCAGCAACCTGCACTCAAGGTACCTGCACTTGCTCTTGACTCTTGGCTTATCCATGTCCACGTTCTTGTCCTCTCTGGTACATACTTCTGATTCCTGACCCTGGAGTGCTGCTCTGTGACTATGACTTGCACTTGCCATTAAACCTTGCCTTTGGACCCTGACTCTCTTCCAGTTCTGTTGCCCTGGTCCTGCTGCTTCTGACTGCCCACAATCCAGCCCTGGACCTTGATGCCTGGAAAGTTTGGTGGGGGGTAATCTGACTTCCCACCTGATTCTTGTTCAGCGCCTCAGTGATATAAGAACATCTGTGATACAAAATAGACTTAAGACGACATGTTTACAAATTACTGTGTTCATGAAGGACTCCATGATCAGCCCTGTTTTAGTTGGTATCATGTAAACAGTAAACTGGTTCACATGATCACTGTAGTTCATGGTGGCCTATTTAAGCCATACTGAGCCTCTGTGGCTACCAGCATCATGTTGCCTATTCAAGTCCTAGCCGCCTTTTGTTACGTTGGCCAAACCAAGGCAGCATGATGTGCAGGAAAGAGGAAAAAAGCACCCCCCCCCCCAATAACCCATTGCTTGTTTGTATGTTTTTTTGGGAGAATACATACCATGCTGCCTGGGTTGAGATGACATGGTAAATTATGGCAACCCTCCACAGGGCTGAATGGCATCTAAATGGTGCAGCACAATTTAGAACCAAATCACAGTAGAACTGGTGTTAGGTAAAGGGTATGAAAAAGGAAAGCAGGAATCAAATGACAACAAAAGGCAATGCCCCATCTCCATAAAAATAAAATCAAAATGAAATATTAAACAATTTAAAAACTAATATAGTGTGAGAAATATTTGCAACACTTCTATCTCCTCTAGATACAAAGCACAAAGCAAAAGGGTCTCTGACCTTGTTCACCTTTGATGAGTCAAAATCCACCCACAGCACTCCCTTCCCGCCTAGTGTGGATGTAATTAAAGAGAAGCAGCAGTGGTAATTTCTCTCCTCATTAACTTCCTGATTGGTTTGAAGCTCAGATTTTCACCGAGCTGCCGTTTGTCACCAAATCCAAATGGCCAATCGTTAAGACTAATGTTTGTGTAACTAACTGCCAGCATCTGCCACGGCTTCTTGTACAACAATAATAGTGAAAGGGTAACATTAATGCTCCTGTGTTAATTCAGCATGTATTCATCAATGAGGAAATCTATGGTGTAATTAGCAAAATGCATTAGTAGACAAGTAGGCTGTGAGTCATTTGTAGAAATTAAATCACAGAAGAGGCTGTCTGAATACTTAATGTGTGAAGCATCAAAAGCATCAGCACCCATTCTATTTTGAATGTTCATAATTCAATGAGGAGCAGGCAGGGATGATTTAAAGCAGCAGGATTGTGCCCACTGTTTTAAAGCTATGGTGAACCTGACCCAATCACTTATCAACAGGGAACAAGGTTAATAAACTGAACTCCAGG